ATGTGAGGAACACCCGAGGGGAAGGCATATCAGAGGACATCCTTGAATGCTTCTATGAGAACATCTCCTATACGCCCTTCATCCATATCGAGGACACCAACCTCAATGGACGTCATCTCCCAAAGCCCCGACGAGCTCTATTCAGAACCGCCAGCTCAGATCACTTGGGTAAAGAGCCAGTAGATCCTTATACCTTGATCATGGACAACAAGCTCGACTCCCTTCGCCCAAGTCTGAAGGATGTCATGAACCTCGACGATACTTATCGTTGTGATGGCACGGAAGGACCTCCGGACATAGAAGGTCTCCATCGAGCATTCTCAAGATCTGCGGTCCTGCAGATCGTCTCCGCCCGATCCCGCCCCGACGCTTTCATGCCGTCCAGTATGGAGAACCCGATTGACTCGAGCCCAGGTCTAGTCGACATCAAAGTGGCAAAGGTCGGTCTGCTTTGGCGCAAAGACCCAAAGAAGAAAAAAGCCCGATCTCCGTGGCAGGAATGGGGCGCTCTTCTTACTTTCTCGAAATTGTACTTTTTCCGGGACGTCAACTGGGTTAAGTCCCTCATCCACCAACACGAGTCACACGTCAAGGAAGGTCGCCGTCGGGCCGTTACCTTCAAGCCCCCTCTGACCGACTTCAAACCTGATGGCATGATGCCGACAGAAGACGCTGTTGCTTTGCTTGACTCTGGTTACAAGAAGCATAAGAATGCGTTTGTTTATGTCCGCTCGAACGCCCTTGAAGAGGTCTTCCTGGCCAATTCGGAAGCTGACATGAATGATTGGCTGGCAAAACTTAATTATGCGGCCGCGTTCAAGACCACTGGTGTTCCAAGCAAAGGGATGATAGCAACCAACTACGAGGCACAGCGCAATCGCATGAGTCGCAGGGGCTCCTCTGCGTCTTTGACAGACAGGGAACCACCGTCCCCGAATCCTGCGGCCGACATGGGCGAGGACTTGCTCGCATCACAGGCTCAATTAATGCGTTACAAAATTCGAGAGGCCAACGAGAAATTATTCGTCAGCCAGAGGCAGCTCGATGATCTATTGCGGAACGCGAGGCATTTACAGGTGCTGACTCCCGTGAACTCTAGGGCCCGCGAACAGGTCATTATGGCGGCTGGTCGCATGGCCGCGAAGCTTAAATGGGTGAGACAGGACATATGGCGTACCAGGTGCTACAGGGAGGTGCTTGTTCGAGATTTGGGTGAGGAGGTGAAAGAGGCCCCGCCCACGACTGAACCAAAAGGCCTTCAGCTCCAGATTCCTGCTCCGAGCGCTAGCAATGCTGTAGAGGGACCGTACGAGGAAGCCGGGACCATTCAAGTCACCTCCCCCATTCGGGAAGCTTCTCCACATCCAAGCTCTGCAAAACCACCTTCGATCTCTCAGCCACCATCACACCCTACCTCGGCGGATGTGAGAAGGCCGAGCATTCCGGCATCCTTCGCTTCGTTTGATCAGCCTGATCGCGCTGGTAGGCGTCTTTCTGTTGACGCTGCCAAGGAACGTGCCATGTCAAGTTCCCCTGATCGTGCAAGCCGACTCACTCGGGAGGCTTCTGTTCTTAGTGCTGCCAGCAGAATGGATGTTGTGAGCCTGGGGTCCCACGCATCTAAGCTTACCGTGCCCAATAGTTTCGATGAAGGCGAAGAGCGCATCCTACGGGAAACTGGTCTCCTAGAAGCCTCGCGAAGGCCGTCCCTTACCTCTAAGGATACCGAAACTGAATCGAAGCACGAGGACACGCAACCTAGGCCCTCGTTCGATCGCACAAGTCGAATCCGACGCAGTCTACACCGCACCCTTCGCGATGCGCCCAGCGTACACGGAAACCACCCACGAAGCAAGAAAGCACGCGACTCAGCATCCAGCCTGGCCGCGCTCGAGGATGCGCAAGGTACGCATGATGGTGAAGGTCTGTCGCGAAAGTCCGCCAGCTTTACGGTACACGGCAAGAAGGCCTCGATCGTCACCTTCGGGAGCGAATGGCAGAATATGCCGCCGGAGGAGCGCTTGAAGTTGCGGAAACCCACACCGTCAGACGAGCCGCGAGCATCAGACCCAGCTATTGGCAGCGGTGGCGAGTCCATCACCTCTGAAACCAATTTACATCCACGCTACCCGCACTCTTTGCGGAGTACCAGCCCTGGAGCGCGCGAAAGTGTTCATTTCTATGATGAGACGGAGGAGTTCAAGGAGGCCTCTGAGACTCTTATCCCTGAGGAAAAGAAGGGCGAGAACGATGATGTTGCCGATTCGAGTGTCAAGATGTCTGAAGTCTCCTTTCCCACCGCTACTCAAGACGCGCCTCTGAGCATCATCGACGAGCCTATGTCCCCCAAAGCCGGTAGCAGCACTGCCATTGACGAGCAACCACCACCTCCAAAACTACCTCCTAGCTCACCCGAGCAAGCCGTCCACGCATAAAAAGCCCCACCCTTGTCTAAGCTCTCTCTTTTTCTTTTCTTGTTTTTTTACGACTTTATACCCCTATTCATCTTCTTTCTCTTTGACTTCCTCGTGTGTGTTTGGAGATGCCGACGGCCTCCTCAACTCAAACTGATAGAGCATGCGTGGGGCTCCCTCCCCGCGCCGTTTATGATACTGATACCATGATTCTTTTATGGGTCTTGATTCGAAGCCCTGAGTATGCATGCATTTGAGTTGGTTGGGTGGACAGTTTGATCGACTATGTTGAAACTTGAGTTGATATACCGTACTTAGCATTCATACCTTGCACATGGTGGCATGATCTTGGATAATACAAAATACAAGGAATCTTACAATAGATATTTTTCATCTGATGTCGATAGCCGCGATTGTCACGTACGACGAAAGAACTCTGCGATCTAATGGAAATGGATTGATCGATGCCGAAAGGCCGCGTCTATTCCAATCGGCCACGCGCCGGGCCGGAGAGCGGAACATTGCGGCAGAACAAGACTGCGTAGCATGTAGTTAGTAGACGTCAGCACCAACCTCTATAGCAATGAAACAAATTGAGAAAACAGAGGAGCGATAGGAAAGTAGCTCGTTACCACAAAAGATGCAGATGATGAAAGACAAAAGTTCATTGAGACGGAATCCGCTTATTGTTTGTTGTATAGTATATATCTACGATATATGCAGGTAGTTCGGGTGGTAATACCGGCTAGCAGTGGCTGTGAGCGTACGAAGCAAAGGGCGTCAATCACGGGTTAATGATTGTGCACAGAATGCAGAGCCTCTGGATGAAGGAGACATGTTCCGTGACTGAGCAAGGGAGGTGTAGTGCCTGAAATCTGGGCGTCAGCTGGGGATGTTGGTCGAAGGGTGGGGTGGGCGATGTGCTGCGTGTGTTGGGCGGGTTGAGCGGAGGGCATTGGGTATTCGTGGGAGCTAGGTAATGCATATATCTAGAAGCAATGTCTATACCTAGAGCGAAGTTGTATACCTAGAACAAAGTCAGGAACAGTGGTAGCGCAAGTCTGCGTGCCTTGGTTAGGACTGGGTGTTGGTTGTGGCGCTTGAGCCAGGGAAATGCAAGCTGGAGAGGATTGCTGTCATGCTGTATGCACGGTAGTGAGGGCGGGAGACATTACCAAAAGTGTTTGAGGTACTGAGAAAGTAGGCTGTTGCGTATGTTGTTCTAGGAAATGGTGGGTGGTCTGTTGTTGCGGTGTAGGGTTGTCGCGGTTTGTTCATTTGTGTCTTGGTGCAGTGTGACGGGCTGGGATGGGGGTCTGGCTTGAGAGATGAGTCTCTATCATATGCTTGACACTCAAATTTTATTTGAAAGTACTGTAGATAGGTTCCCTTGCTGGTGTATATGCAATCCAATTATGATTTCTGTGGTGAATTGTGCATTGAATAGATGATCCAGAACTGCCAAAGGTGTTCGATACAGGCAGCGAATTTGGGAGCTTCAGGTGAACTCTCTCGGAAATTCTTACGCGCCACGGCTGGGATGGAACTGTTGAGTGTCCACTTGCTTTCGTATTGACTCACAAAGTTTCGATCAGGCTGTCTGACATATTTACTTTACGAAGGCATTAGAACAGAGTCATCGAGAATGGTAGATGAGACTTGCTCTTGCAATCCATTGGCTCAAGATTCTGACCAGGCTGTCTGATATATTTGCCTTGCGAAGACATTATAAAAATGTCATCGAGAAAGATAAATTGGCCACAAGGGGCGGGTACACCTGTTCATCTACCATCCCATCGATATCGGACTATTACAGCTTACCCACCATGACCTGCCTATACCTATGCTGCTCTGCGTTGTTCAATAGTAGCTCATTCTCCATAGACCTCAAGTCAATAAGCTCGATTGTTCTCCGCGGGATAGCCCTGTACTTGTCATTCCGGCACTCGCTAGTCCACTCTACAGGAAATATCAGCCCTAATTCTTTCTCCATCTTCGCTCGTCCTTGAAAACTCGTCCTCTTCGACAACTAGTTCTTCTTGAACACCCATCCTCCTTGATATTCTTAATGAACGGCCACTTGGTATTGCAGTATGGTGTACCGCGTACTGTACCGTCGTTTTTCCGGCCCCTTCTCTCTGCTGTTGTATTCTGCTTCGCCTTCCTCCTTCTCCTTCCTCCATCTTCTTCCTCCTCGTCCTCCCCTAACCGTACTTGCCCTAATTATCTACCGACTTGCTGTGCTCCTTCCTTCAGTATTAACGCAACAATGGAACAGGTCGACGACGATATCCCTCCCTCCCCCCCCGGTCGATTCCCATCGTCGACTTCTTTTCCCCAACCATCCTCTCTACCCCCATTTACCAACCCCATTCTGCGCTTTACAAGCACTTTCAGAATTACGACTCTCTCAGACCATTGTCAGAAATCAGTTTGTGTTCTATGAGCACTATCAGAAATCCCTTTCTTGACTTCCAACAATCTTTGAACCTTGTTTTAACCTCTCCCTCACGCTCCACCTCACACCCTATCTTGACCTCGACCGAACACCCCCTCCTCGGATCGCAGATCCTAGATCGCGACACCATGTTCGTGGTCAACCCCATCGGGTCCCTAGGACTCAGAACTGGAAAGCCAGCCCTCGACAGCTGGAAGCTGAAGGTGCCTACCGACATCATCGAGTCGGAGGTCCACAAACTCAAAGATTTGATTCACGATGTGATGAAGACAACTGTTCGGCAAGACATTCGAGATATCTTGCGCGATGAATTGAAGGACATCGTTCGCAGCAGCCTGGAAGACATGATGCAGGAGATGCAGGCCATTGTCCAGGACACGCAGGCACATGTCCAGATGATCGAGGCGAGCGCTCAGGGCATGCAGACCGACACTCAGATGGTCAAGGAACACGCCGAGAGCCTGCAGACCGACGCTCAGGAGCTCAAGGAACATGTTCAAGGTATGCAGAGCAACGTCCAGGACATGCAGACCAACGTCCAGGACATTCAGATCAACGTCCAGGACATGCAGATCGACATTCAAATGACCGAGGCACGTACTCAAAACCTGCAGACCGACGCTCAGAAGCTCAAGGAATATGTACAGGGTATGCAGGCCAGCCTTCAGGAAACACAGGCAGAGGTGCAGAAGATGAAGGCACAGGCGGACATTCAGAGGATGAAGGCACAGGAACAGGTTCAAGACATGCAGGCCGACATGCAGAAGATGCAGGCACAGGCGGACATTCAGATGATGAAGGCACAGGAACAGGCTCAGGACATGCAGACAGTCGTCTATGCGTTGCAGGAAGTCGTCTTCGACATACAGACCAACATTCAGGACATGCAGGCCGACATGCAGAAGATGAACGCACAGGCAGACATTCAGAAGACGAAGGCACATGAACAGGCTCAGGTTATGCAGGAAGGTATCCAGAGCATGAAGACGAACGTCCAGGGCATGCAGACAGTTGTCGATGAGTTGCAGGAAGTCGTCTACGACATAAACACAGACGCCCAGGACATGCAGGCCGACATTCAAGAGATGAAGGCACAGGAACATGCTCAGGATATTCAGGACACAAAGACAGACGTCCAGGACATGCAGACAGTTGTTGATAAGTTGCAGGAAGTCGTCCACGACATATACACAGACGTCCAGGATATGCAGGACGACATTCAGCAGATGAAGACACAGGAACAGGCTCGGCATAATCAACACACAAAGACCAACGTCCACGACATGCAAATCGATGCTCCCGATTTGAAGACCAACATGCAGAAGACAAGGGCACCGAAACAGACCAAGGATATAAAGGCGGAGATTCATGACACGAAGGTCAACGTCCAGTACATGGAGGCCGATGCTCCCGACTTGAAGACCAACATACAGAAGGTGAAGGCGCCGGAACAGGCTCAGAACATGCAGGCGGACATTGAGCATAGGAAGGTCACGGTCCAGGATATGAAGGTTGACATTCAGGACACAAAGAACAACGTCCAGAACATGCAGAAGATGAAGGCACTGGAACAGGCTCGGGACACGAAGGCGGAGATTCATGACACGAAGGTCAACGTCCCAGACATGCAGAAATTGAAGGCACCGGAACAAGCTCAGCACATGCAGAAGATGAAGGCCAAGGAACAAGACCAGGACATGCACACAGACTATGAATCAGAAGGTAGCTCGACCGTGATACACGACGATTGCGAAGCCGAGTGGACGGCATACTTATGGCGACAAGTGTCGCAAACCAAGAAGCACCAGAGGTCGATCACTCCATCATCTACCGACGAATGGATGGAAAAGATCAGGCAACTGGATGAGCTCAGCGAGATAAGTTCGATTCCACAGTTCGAAGAGAACTGGCATGAGGGTGAGGACCTCTGGTGGAGGGAGGAGTGTCAACGCGAGTGGAATAGATTTAATTATCGCACGGAGCACCTAGAGCCGCCAGAGTGGCAGAGGGACTTTGTAGATCGCCGACTTAAGTAGTTTTGTTTTAGAACAATCAATGCAAAACTTATTCTTAGATCAATCCACCTACTTTGTAATTGTAATGGAGCTCGTCTACCGCTCATTCCCTGTTCCTCCGTGGCTCTCTTCCATCCTTTCTAGAAGTCCCTGTTCACCACGGGTTCCGACTGAGAGTCTAGTACATTTTCATTTCCGTTAACCCAGGCTGCAGAGAACAACTGTGAGTCGTCCTTCCCCAATCTCCACTTGACTGGTTCCTGCCCCAGACTACCTAGCTTGGAGAGACATCCAGGCTTCCTCAAGGAGCCTTGGACAAGACCATAGAGATGACTCGTTCTTTCTGGATCAAACTCCGAGGGTTCGGAAACCGGAAAGTACTGCCTTGGGAGTAATACCCTGGAAAATGAATAACAATGCGTTGAAAGGTTTGTCCTTGTTGAGGGATGCGTATGGACAAGAGATGTTTAGCCCGTTGTGGTATAGTCGGATGACTTGAGGTAGATATCTTGTAAGGCAAGTATGGCGTATAGTCTGGATCTCGCCCATCCATTCCTAGACTCTTCACCTTAGCTTTCTCCAGACTGACCCCACCCAGTCCCATGAAGACCGTGATCCATACTGTTCTCGATCATGTCAGAGCAAGAATGGGGCTATCGTTGGCGAGCTTCAACAATTTTCATGACTTCTGCCGCGGGCAACTCCATTGAACTTGCGGGATACTGGCCGGCCTCGACCCTACGGACCCTAACTCGGAATGAGCCTCGCTTCTCGATAGATACCATTCTCTTCTATACACCTCTACCAAGATTCGCATCCCTGCGCCTAGTTTCTACAGCTGCTTACTGCGCAAACGCATCTTCATCGGTGGCATGTACTGTGCCTTTGTCTATGCTCTGCTGGACACAACCTCCACGGCGACTCTACCTTTTCATACTCGGGGATACTATCCACCGGGGAGGTACGGCATTGCGGACTTGTGTTTGCTACGTTACAAGTACCACGCATGGTTTTGACTCCCTCGGGCGGATGGGTGAAATTTCTCGGTTCGGAACCAGGATCCCTCTTGTCTTTGGGCCTTGGGGTGGCCTATACCCTGGCCGCGCGTACAGGCCCCATCCTGGCTGGGACTCTTTGCGATAGATACGATTACCACGTGATGAACAGTATTCATGGTGAGAGATTTTAGCTGGCTTTTTTGTATCAGAATGCGGCATAATACTAACTACAGACCGCCATGTAGCTAGCATAAGCGGGCGTGGTGGTCCCCGGTCCTGCCGGGGACCCGGGCCGGCTCACGGGAGCGGGTTCAGAAGGTGCCTCAGCGCCGCCGGGCCCGGGGCGTCCAGCTCGGGGGACCGCGGCTCGCACGGTTTCAGGGGGCTGTCGTAGTCCTCTGGGGCTGTGGCCCGGCAGAAGCCCATGTATATCGCCCAGAGGCACCCGATGGATACCAAGATACCACCGCGGAGGTCGTTAGCCGGCCTGTGGTGGTGGTATTGGGCGCATGGGGGCCCCTCGTTGGGGGCCGGGAAGGGTATCTGGCTGGGACTGCGCGCTGCCGGCTCCGCGGTAACATCCGGCTGCAGCTTTCGGGTGCGGATCTCGCGGCGCCAGACATTGTGATTGTGGTCACTCTTAAGCTTTAGGGCGTACCGGGCCAGGGCTGCAATGCTGGCGTGAACATTGTGGGCAGCGGCACGCTGGACAAAGTCCGGGAACTGAGGCAGCTGGTCTCGGAGGATAACACGAAACCATTCTTGGTCCCGTCGCTTAACCAGCTTCCTATCGAGAATTCTCTCCTCCACCAGAATCCGCAGAAGCTGCCCGTCAAGGAGCTCCCAGTCTGCTGTTGAACCGCCGGGAAGAATGCTGGGGTAGTCATCTATAGTCATCTTTTTTCCCATTGTAGGTGACACCGCGGGGCACAGAGGAAGAAATCAGGGTTGGTGTTGGTGTTGCAGACACAGGGAGATGCAGCACAAAAAGACAAATGCAGGTGTTTGTTTGGGTTGCAGCAGCGGACAAGTCTCAGGCAACAGTTGTCCCGGGCAGAATTAACTACTAACTAGTTAGTTAGTTAATTAACCTAAGTTAGTGATACCAGCTGGCTCGACTCGGCTCGGCGCTATGTAACCCCGGAGTACCGCTAATATTCTACTCTATCCCCAGGTCTCTGCACAGGGACCTATCCTCTGTTATTTCAGCTGTCATGGTAGATTATTGCCTTCGCGAGATGGCGAGGGCACGGAATGAGGCCGAGTCATAGAGGGTGGAACAATTCGCTGGAAGTAGGCATCTCGAGCTGGAGGTCTTAGCGGAATTGAGACCAAACAATGCCATAGCGATGCACCTCATCAACGACACCAGCAGTAGAAACGCCCATTGAATGGCGCAGCTTACTGGACGTGTCTCTGTGATAGGAGTACTCTACGTTCCGAGTGAACAAGAAAGAGGAGAGAATTAGGAGGGCAGCTGTCTAATAGAGCCACCGAGATAGATGGCTGGTGAATGTACAGTATCTGCAATAGACAGACTGACAATCCAACAATGGTGAAGTAGTCAATGCTTCAACCAAAGGTGAATCCAAAAGATATGTTCACCAGTTCTGAGTCCATCCAGTGTCTTCACATTCGTTCTTCCAGGACTCAACCTCGCTATCTCAAACTTTCTCTTTCAATCATCCCCAAGAGAAGTCTCTCCTCTTCGAACTTCCATTATGTCATATCGTTCTATTATCATTGAACTTGGCACTCGGATTGTACGGCGAGTCAAATCAATTGATCAGAGAGCACGTTGCATGCTTGAAAGATTCCACACAAGCATGGGGTCAACCATCACCACGGTCCTCGTCACCCTGTCAGCTCGTGTGCCCGCTGTATACGTTCAATACGTCTAGTATAATTCTGTGGCAGTTTTGAATTGTCTTTGCGTATTCATAATGTATACTGAGGTGGAAGGTACGAGGAAGTCGTTCCGCTTGCCTTGCCGAGTAAGTCATGGTGTTGCCCTCCCTCTTTATCTTCCCTTCCGGGCTTCCTCGATTCTTGACCATCCTCATGTCCTGAACGCACGTTTACCCTTGCAGAGAATGTATAGCCTTGAGGGCCATCATCTCAGTGGTATGGAGAGACCATCGGCTTCCACCCCTTTGATTCATTGACTTTTGGTACCTAGGTTGTCGAGGTCTTATTTTTCCCGTGCTACGAAACGTTGGAATACACACGCCGGTTCCGCGGAAACTCAACTGCTACCACGGTCCTTTTTTCATCGGATCCTCTCGGAACCCCTCTCGGAACCAAACAAAAGGGTTTAGGGGATGAGTATCCCAGGAGGTTATACCTTTTACAATGGGTAAGGGCTATCATCGATCTCGGAAGCTCAATGCTAACCTCAACAAGGGAACAGTACCCCATCGACTATGTTAGTATTCGAAATTTAGCGAATGAGCGACATAAGCTCTATTCCACCGTTTGAGGAGAACTGGCATGAGGACGAGGATGTCTGGTAGGGCAAAGATTACTGAAAAGAATGGAATAAATTCAATTACCGAACTGAACACTTGGAGCCACCGGAGTGGAAATGCGAATTTGTTGATCGACGTCTGAATTAACAACTACTGGACTGAACACCCGAGCCACCAGAGTGGCAGCGCGACTTTGTTGACCGCGACTTAACTAACAACTACTAAACTGAGCATCTCGAGCCACCTGAGTGGCAGCGAGACTACAAGCTTACTGACCCCGGCCGATGGTGGCATTTAGACGAGGAATCAGTGAGTTTTACGCTGATCTTTCCCTCCCTCTGCCCTCTCCATCTTTTGCTGTTCCCCACAGCTTCTTGATGGGTATCGCTTTGCTAAGGCGGTCCCTTCTTGGCTTCGTTACAGGAGACTCTGAGAAAACCGAGACAGAATAGCAACGGCGATATCAAATCCATCACGAGTCTCAAAGCATTCCCTCACGGAGACATACGACCTCGACAACCTGAGCGGCCCTAGAACGAAGCCGTGCTGCCAAGCTGACTACGACTCCTGGGTGCATGATGACCTCCCCGACTACTTGAGGCAGACTGGACCGCCTACTTATGGGGCCAAGTATCGGAAAGGAAGAGTTTGAAGAAAATCGACTCCGCCGGTCGAGAAAAAACCGGCATAATGGAGAGAACGTTTGGTGGAGGGAGGAATGCCAGAGAGGATGGAACAAGTTCAACTACAACACGGAACACCTAGAGCCTCCAGAATGTCGCCGATATTTCGTGGACCGACGCTGGAGGTAGTTTATTTTCAGAGCAGTCAACGTGTTAGCGGCCATGAGGCCTCAGTATCCAAGCTTCTCACCGCCACGGCTATGGCCATGTCCAGAGTCTCACTCATGAAGCCTCGGGTAGCCGACTTTCATCATCATCATGTTGACGCTCTGCGGCCTCAGGCTGCTGCTTACCGCCCACCGTGTTGTTCTTAGCTAGTTCTGCAGATAGCCTCAGATAGTCAGAATCCACCGTCTATCCTCGTCCTTGACACACCCGCCGGCAGCCCGATATATCGCCGAAGAGCCATGCTCAATCCAGGCTTACTTGGGGCAATGAAACTACGGTATTTGTGGCTCCAAAGGGCATTGAAGAAAAGCAAGGAATTCCTTAGGCCTACCAGGCAAATGGGAATTGGAAAAGTTGGTAGCAGTTGGTCATTCTGTTAGGGCATGTCAATGGACGTAAAGGAAGGAGAAATTTGTCTTCAGCCTGACGTCAACATGTGAGGTGATCCCGGAGGATTATAGTTGAACTCCCACCACAATCTTCGACTCTGGTAGAAGGTGTTCGCATGAAAACACTAGACAACAGTCAGCGCTGCATTGTTATTCCATGCTATTCTCGATGCTACGCGCTTGGTTGAGGACAGGTGAGGTGGAGAAGCTCATATTGTGTTAGGGGTATGGTTAAGTGATGGATGAATCCAAGCTATGTGAAGCTATCTCTGTTCAGTGTCTTAGTATCAATGATGACTGGCTACGGCATCACATGTTCTTGCAGCTATGGGAGACTGAGAATAGGTAAGTCTGTTGGAAGGTATGCAAGATATGCGTACGGTTCGATAGACCCTGACTCGGACTAACTCTCTTGCCTTCAATGACTGACTCTACGACTCTCCGGCCGTCTGATACAAAAGCTCCTCGCGCCAACCCCAACCCAGTGCAAATGTCGCCCCAGGTCCAAGAGTAAGAAGTGACCCTGCGAATGCCCCACCGGCTCTCCACCAGGAAAATTGAGCTCCAGCCTGCTTCAACTCGCGAAAGCGCAGCGCGAGCCACACAAACCCACTAGTCATTGAGATAAGTTCGTCATACTTCAAGAAGCGCGCGATGCAAGCACTGAACGACGTCACTGGGACGGAGGCATCTCGCAAACCAGGCAGGAAGATGCTACTAAAGGAAACATCCTGTGGGGCCGTCATCCGGCCGTAAACAAAGGTGAGCCCGGAGACTAGGGCAAAGGTACCGTATGCCCACCGGATGTATTGCAGTTCGTTTCTCTGTGGGTTATGCTGGACATCCCGTGACTTCGGGGACGGTCTGTTGAGCACGCGAGCCGCAAGCAGGATGGCGCCCTGAAGGAGGGGAGTTGTCAGCGGGAAAGCCTGCCAAAGAGCATTGTACCACTGGCGCAACTTGAGGGTTGGGGCGAAGAAATTGGCATATGTGATCGAGTGGTATCCTGCCAGGGTGGAAAGGACCAGAGACCCGGTGAAGCCACAGGGTATCTTTCTATTCTCGCCCGCGAGCAGTGTGGACAGGGGCGTGTGGAAATACTCCAACGCGAGATAGAGAGGGGCAACTTTCCTGATGCCCACCAATTGAAATATGCTACCTGCTACCATGGGTCTGTTTCATCGAACAAATGAGTCAAAAGATTCACGTCTGTTGGTATGCGGAGAACTCACAGAACTACTTGGTGCCACGAGTGCACATTGCGGTAACTCTCCAGCAACCAGATTCCATAGACTGGTCCCAGGTCCGTCATGAACGATAACATCTGGATGCGTGAGAGCGGGTCTGATCCGGTAATTGAAGGTAGGAAACAAGTAATCAGCGGCTGCATCAGCTTGTCAAAGAAGCGGTTATGATAAAGAGATATGTTTAGATCCATAACTTCGCCACTCGCAGCAGTCCAGGTTCCGTTATTCAACATCGGAACCAGATGTGATCTAAGGGGCAAGAGCATTGATTCCACTGCTGTCTTACTGAAGGCGAAGATGCCCAACAGTGGCAGCGTCCAAAGTGCCTGTTCCCCAATTGTGGAGTCCGGCACGGGTCGACAGTCAGTAAACGGCATCGTACCTGCTAGAGACTTGGCCGGTGGTGGTAGGTAATCGATCTTTGTCGCCCCCACAAAGGTTCGAGATGATTTGTCGACCAAGTAGTGCTCGAGATATGGCATTAGGTAATGTGCTATGGCCTTGTCCTTGAGTGTACTCAGTGCTTCCAATCGCGTGAGGCTGTAGGCTGACTTGAAGATGGCTTGCACGCGAGGTTTCCGCTTTTCTTGCCAGGATTGCAAGCATTCATTCAGCTCCTCTACAGCGGGGCTCGACTCATGGGAGGCTTGGAGCAAGCTAGCAAGACTGTTCGCAAGCGCGGCTGCACTTTCAATTGCGCTGTTACCACCCTGACCCAAATTCGGGGTCATCTGTTAGGGCATGTCAGTCATGCGCAGTTAGGGCTTTTCTCTCCATCACTCTGTCCAAGAGCATACCTTATGCGCTGCATCTCCGATACAAACCCACCGGTCGATGGCCCAGCGGCTATAGGAGGCCTCTTCCAATGGCAACAAAGTCCGGGTTATTGCCCTCTTGTATACCTCGGCAAAAGGTACATTATCAGTGATCGGCTTCTGTAGG